GTATTTATAAAATTATTTATTTACCTGTTCAGTGATATGACCACACCTTGCCAGCTGCCCTTAAATGCTATTAACGTCTCCAAACGGGGTGGGAAAGAGGTGTTATGCTTCCAAGCTCTGGCCATAAAGGCAATCTGGGTCAGTCCCACTATTACAGCAGGATGCTTACTGGCCGTGCACTGCAGAGGTGCTCGGCCTCTTCCCGTATACCACCATGGTCACACCGACACCGGTGCTGCTGTACCAGTGTGACACTGGTGGCCTCTGGGAGCCAGGAGGAGCTGCCAAACTGGGAGGAAGTCCCCTTTTCATCATGCATACATTTAAGCAGACCTGGAGTCAAAAATGACATGGCCACCAAAAAGCCCCCACAGAGGAGCCCTTCTTCTGGTGTTCCCCTGTGCGTGATGGGTGGCTGGAAGCAGCACACCTCCTTGCTGACGTCCAGCTGCCTCATCAAGGAAGCCAATGTGAAGCCCTCTGGCAGCACGACTTGAGACTACACGATGTCAGAAATTACAAACGTCAAACTGGATCTCTCCCCGACATGCTCTGAAGACAAAGACAGCAGGGGAAGTATACTACAACCTCCCCATCCACTCCTTTTACATTGTGGTAGCTTCAAAAGACAGATCTCACACAGCGAAGGAAGGCGGCTTGAGAGTACCTCTGACAGGAGCTTTGTAAGAAGGTGTTCTAGCTTCGGCTCAGATTTCCATCCCAGCCACCTGAACGGCTCCATTCCCTTGGTTGTTCCTCGCCTCCTGAAGGCTGAATCTTCAGTGCTTCGCTGCTGCGGGGGGGATGCCCACCCATCACAGAGGTCTTCCAGTCTGTCTGCAGGCATCACCACAGAGACATAGAGTCTTTTCTCATTTTGATGGCTGCTTTTGTAACAGTTAAAGACATCTCTGGCTTGTTTTTGAATTGCAGTGCAATACTAGAGTGACGGACACAAAGAAATGGCACTGGCTTGGCAGACTCCGCTCGACAACTGGTTCTCAGGACTTCAAAACAGACTGCAATATTGTTTTGGAGTGCTTCCCTTTAGCTGCTAAACTGAGGCATGAAAAGGAGAAAAACTGTATAAACACTATGAAAAATGATAGCAGGAAGAGCTTCTATTAGCCAGTGATTTTGAGAGAGTTTTATTTTCAGGCACTTAGCTTAAGACACTTTTCTCTTCTTTTCTGTCTTTAGGAAAATAAAGATGTTCCTTCATATATGTGGGTGGCCCAAGACCTGAACATCATTTTGTTACAGGAGATGAAGATGTCAACAGCTGCAAATATTTCTGTCTTTATTATTATTATTATTTTTGATCTAAAAAAAATTTATGAATGGAAGAAACAAACCCAAAGCTTCTTTGGTTTAATGCATGCTCACAATTTGTAATGTATCTTCTGATATTTCTTGTATGTATTCTTGAATTTTTTCTGTAATATGAATGTAGAAGAAATTGCACATATGACATAAGCAGACCTTTCTCTTGGCTCTTTATGCTTGAAATGTTGTTAGATAGATTTCCATGCTTTGACTTGTTGGGAAGATTCATTGCTGGCAGACCGATGAGGTCTGGACAGTCGACAGGTCAGAACATTTATTAATGTGATTGCTTTGCTCAGAAAAAGTTTGGCTCCATGCTCGAGAAGATCCCCTCTGAAATGAACGTGGAGACTAGGAAATTAATTATTAAGGAGGATGTTACAAAAACATACATCAATACTGTTCAATATGTGGTTGGAAGGTAATTGAAAAAAATTATGTAGACTCTGATTTAAAAGGAGAGGGAGTCTCATGAACACACACTGTA